CATACATAATGTATAATAATAATTTGTCGAAGTATCAATATACGTTTGTTTGGTATTATTCTTGGATAGTCAATCTCGGATACAAGTAATCTCCAATCCTCCTATTAATAATTAAATAATACTGATATAATTATGTATTTCAACTTTAATTTGGCTGGTTTTGAACGGGGTCTACAAATGTCACATAATGTGTTATCTTACGTTAATTCCATAATATAAATATATTCCGATTCGGTGATAACAGTTTCTTTTACTAATTGAATATGATAAAAGCATCAGCAAGTTTGACTTTTATCATAATCCTAATGGGTAATAATTGGACTGGGCGTAGAGATTACGTTCGCCGGCCTTAAAAGTTTCAAGGACTAAGGAACTTCAAGGCTTCCTTTATTAAGTCGGCAAGTCTCGTTAAACAGTGAAATTAAGGGACGCCTGCTGCTTCCCCGCAAATTTGGAAATCATTGTACCTCCTCCGAAAAAAAAATTACGTATATCCAGTAAATTTGATTAATTTTTTTTAATTTAAAATTTGAAAAAGGTTTTAAGGAATATGTTAAAACCTAAATTGATGATGAATGATTTTTTTAAATTAGTCGAGCGAAACCGTAATAGCTCAATGTTCAGGCTAGCTCTCACATTCATCTCGCTTAGCTAGCTTTAACATTCAATATATTAGAGCTACCCGAGTTCCAATCCCGGTATAGGCCCTACTGAAATTGTCAATTGCAAATTTAAATGTTCATCAATAAAAAAAAACAAGAATATCTGTATCTTAGAAATGATTTAAAAGGAAGCAAAATTTGAAAGAAGGGCTTAGTCCAACACGGGAGCTCACCGCGGATTGATGAACTTCTCATATCTTCGAAACAGTAATTTATTTACTTTGAAAGTATGCAGGTTTCCTCACGATCTTTTCCTTCATTGCTGCAAACGTATTATATGTATAATGTATTGTATCGGTTATGGCATCGGGATTTAAACATTTAATTTTCGAGTATATAGAATTGAAAGCGGAATACTGTGCTACCACACGAAATATACGTGTGAAGTTTATCAATCTTGTCATACACTGACTAAGAGAGATCTTTGCCTAGCAATTTGACATGATCAGATGGTACGGTAGCCATCTTTTTGGATGTGTTTTTTTAACATTTAAATAACTCTTGTATTAAACTCTACTTAGTAGGATAATTATTAATATAGAAGACTACAATTTTAATCTGCTTAGTAAGTAAGAGTAGAGTTCATCTGTCTGGCGGGAATAAGAAATAGAAGTTGCATTAACGTTCGAAAAAGTTTAAGTTTTAATTTTATAAATAATAATGTTATACTTATCATTGATTTTTTCTACATAACTTTTTACCTACCAAATAAAGTTTTATCAAACGTGGGTCTTTGCTGACTTACAAAAAGAACTTGCCAAAATAAAAGAAATTCTTGACGGCCTGGCATAGTTATCTAAACCAATTTATCCGAATAGGATCAGCTACAGCATTACGACCTTTCTTTGTTTGCTCTCGAAAACCTTTCCCCTTGTACTCTTTGGGATTGAACGTAAAAAACGTTTATTTTAAATGTTCGAGTTAACCAAATATTGATTTTAGTAAATGTAGGTACTAAAAGAAAAATAACAATTTGTGCAATTTATGCCAGCAGGTGAGACAAGCTGATGGTCAATATATCAAGTAAATTCTCAATTCCTAATGTTTACTATTGTTTACTCTTCCTCGTTATTAGTCTGTTCAGAATCATGGTACTATTATGGTCCTGGACTAGTGCAGGTGCATCCATATACTTACAGTGCATATATTTCTTTAGGCCTTGTCTCATCCGTTTACATTAACTGTGTCAAAAGATGATCTATAAGAGGATTTATTCATTACAAATAAAATTAAACATAAAAAACAAATTTTGCTGTAGGATGGCGCAGCAGTCATCGCAGTTGCACGAACTGGCAGGTCCGACCGCGGAAGTACAACGAACTCACAAAAGACCGGCGTGAAGTCGAAGAGTTGTACTTCTAGATTTCGTTTTGTGAGTGAGGTAACCGGAGCTCAATTTATTAAAAGGTGGCAACGAATCTGCAACCCTTTTGTTAATGTTGCGAATGTCCGTAGACAGCGCTTATCACTTAACATCAGGTGAACCGCCAACACGCTTTCCATCTTCTTAAATAAAATAAACGTAAGCTAGAAGAAATATTTTTAATTTCATTTATTCTATTTTTACAAGGCCATTTCTATTTTTTGTTAATAACACAAACATACACTCAAATTTTATTTATCTTTATAGACATGTATTATGCATAATATAATGCATGTAGCCATTTTAATAATATTTAAAAAAAATGATACGTTTATTTCAAGGAAAATATATAGCCAATACGTAGTCAATACTTATAGCAAGTATTTGTTCAGTTAGTATCAAAATAACATTAGTAAAGTTAACAGCAATTTTTTTTAAAACATCTGCTCAGTAAAAAGCGACACGCTCTTGACTTGAGGAAACTCGCATTATACTCGGGCAAGAAAACAAACGTTGTTCCACTCCTTTGTTGTACATTTAACCAATTTGGAGACAATTCGAGGAAAAATTGACGAGATACATTCCACATTCGTCGAGAGCGGTTCATGGTCGGGAATGGTCGTTAGCATGTGTTTGTGAAAAACTTTTGAGCAGCAACCTAAGCGTCGGAAAATGCCCAAAGAACACCTAACTCCCTTGCTGCTGCTGTAGCCCTGGACTCATTGATCTACTCTGACAGGTTCTTTGACTGGACAATCCTTGGCCCAACCAATTAGACCAGGAATTATTCCTCTGCACGTACAAGAAGTAGCACTTTTAAGAATGTAATAGACGTTTACAAATTAGGTTAATTTTGCAATCACCAAATAATATAAAGTTTATTTCTCTTCGTAATTTGACTGAGTGCGAAACAGAAACTCATAAACTTTGTGTTATATTAATCAGACTTTAAATTTTATTTAATGCATATTATACTATAATTAAAATTTACTAGAATTAATCACTTGGAAGTAAAGGAACAAAAGAATGAAAATTTTCTAATTAACTTTATTTATTATTATTTAATATTTCCCATATCGGTGATATTTCTCTTGTATCACAAAGTTAAGAAATATTTAAAATAATAAATAATTATGTAACTGTTTCTTTGATGTTGACAGCTATATTTAAAGACATTTTTATAATGTATTGAAAAAAATATAATAGAAACATTTTATTTTGTTTCATGAAACATTATATATTAGCACATAATTTAAGTAAATATTTAAAGATAAACCTGCGTTACGGTTTTAAAAGGTGCACATACGAACAGAATGTGAGTCAAGCTTTAAAGAATTTTTTGTGATTCTTATATCTGTCTTTAAAACATTTAGAATAATCGCCCTATTATAAATCTCGTAAAAATGAAAGGCATCGTTTTGGGTAATGATTTAATAAAACTTAATAGGTCGTGTAACAAAAACTATGTACAAATAAAGTACTAGCTTCACCTGGAATGTAGGCACTTTAATAGTTACAAGTAAAATAAACTTTATCCTATGTTAGGTAACTATTAATTATAGACCGAATTAAAATTATGGTAATTACACTGGTTTCATTTTTTTTATTACATAAATGTACCAATTTTTATAATGTATGATTAGTGCTTTATATTTATTTTATAAGTATATACTTAATAAGTTCAGAAACAGGATAAACTTTTGGCATTTCGATTTGTTGCGAACGACTTGTTTATAACAATGTTTCATTTAAATACCTTGTAACAAAATAAAAATATTTACATGATTGTAAAGTTAATCAATACGGCTTCAAAAATTAATACATGACAAATTAAGAAATGTTTTAATTGTTCCAGGAAAACTCTATGATATTTTTACAAATTGACTACTTAAAGTTATTGTGTTATGAAAGAATTACAAGTCTAAGGACATATTGAGAAGACGGCATTTGACTTGGGTACCCTTTTTCAAGTGAATTATATATTTCGAATCTAATTTGTAGTACCTATTTACTGACAACGATTCAGGGCACTACGTATAAATATTCAAGTGTACATATATATTCTGACATATTATATACTAAAATAATCTCTTACGGGAAATATTAATGAATTATTTAGATAATTATTTATTATCATTATGATTATGTACAACTAATGAAAATACAAATATTCATTCCTCACAAGAAAGTTCAGGTAATCGTATATAACGGCCGTTTTTATAAAACTAACTTTATCACATTTCCATTTTAAACCTACAGAGGTTAAGATAACAATTGAAAATATGTAATTAATTCTTCTATCGTGTCAAGCACACTACGTTCAATAGAGGATTTTTAAAGATATGAAGATTTACATGTGCTACTTATCTTCGGCTATTTCTCACTCTTGGGACGAAATCACATTAATATATCAAAGTATTAGTTAATTCTAATATCAAATATATCCACACTGTTATTTTATATTAGGTTTCTAGCCTGCCACCTCAGGATCTCCGACGCGAGCTTCTGGCTGCGCATTTTTATATTGACTCTAGGGGGGAGTGACCGCAAGACCACATGGAATTGGGGTGCTCTGTGTCAGACCTGTGACTCACTTTTAACCCAATGTAATCCACAGAATACCATTATTTCTTGTTCAACCTATTGCGGCAGAATAACATTATATCTTAACACACCACTAGAGGTAGATCAATTTAAGAGAAATGAAATGCATGTTCTTTATTACACACATCATGGAATACATTAAAACTAACAATTAGATATGGGTAGTACAAAGGGCGGCCATATTACTAAAAGTAATTTCTTCCAAGCAACCTTTGGATGGATATAATATGTAAAGAAATGGATTATTATGTTATTACAGGGGCATGGGTAAATTTCACAATTTTTTATAATATACTTTGTTATAAATTGAAATAAATAATCTCTTGAATGACCATTGGTGGCAGACTGGACGCTTCCTGCTGTTGGTTTTATCCAATAAAAGCGTGCACGTGGTTCTCGCTCATGCCCAGTTTTTTTAACATATCGACGCCGCTGTACGTGAATTCTGTTGGACCGCAAAGACAAGCGAACAGTGTGTCGTCGTCGGAACTAAGTGAGTCACCGAGTAGTTCGGATAAAAGCTCCCCGCTAATCCGCCCCCTGCGACCGGACCAACTTGTACTGCCGTTCGAGAGAATGTGCTCGACTCTAAGCCTGCAAAGTTTAGGGTGCCGTCAATGTCAGAAGCTCTTTTAGTTTATTTATCCGAGACATAAAGGAATTGCTATATCCACACTTAAATGTTTAAAAAGATTTCGTTTAAATAAAAAGCTATGTAGGGAGAGCGTCAGATTAAAAGGAGATAATTATACAGGTTCCACAGGTCGATATTAGATGCAAATAACTGAGCATAAAAAATAACATGTCACTGATTTTTAACAATAACTTCTTCGTGATCAATTTCCGATATATTCAAACGATCTAAAATAACCTAAAACAACTAGTGTGTGTAAAAAGTAAAGAAAAGTAACAGCGTATACATGTTCCACTGCTGGGCAAGTGTATCAGTGCATAGTCCACCACGCGGCCTCGCTGCGTCTTGGCGGACTTCACATATCTTTGAAATATGATTTTTTTTGTCATTATTTCGAAAATATGAACGTGATATTTGCCGCCACCGGGGATCGAACTCAGGCTGGACAATGAGCTATCACGGCTCTTTGGAGTGTGAAATAATTGAATAATTATTAGCTATAATAACATTGCATTAAAAAAACATCTTTATAACGAATTAAAATTAAATATGAAAAATATTGTAATCGCTCGCTCTAATGTTTCTTGTTAAACGAAAAATCATTACAGACAAATTCTAAAATGTTTCGTGTTTATCGGAATGCATGCAAATGTTTCAGCATAAGCTAGTAGTTGGCAAGGACATCGTGAGCTAAATAAACAAGCCCTTGACATCTTAGGCGCTATTAACAAAGTACACTTTAGAAAATTTTCCTTTCCTCTTTCATCAACTTTGTAACGCAGTGACACTAGGAAAATATAAAGAAAAATATATTATAATAAACTTTATCACATTTTAAACTTTAATAGCTGCATAGGGAATGAGAAATGGGAGTTTTCTGTTTATTATTCAATAAATTATTGCATTAGTTATGGATCTCACATATCCCATTAAACAAAATTGCCAATGTTTTATTTTAATACATTTCTACACAAAACGACCAAATAACGTTTACCTTGACAAATATCTGATCAACTATTATAGAATAATAGAAAATATATACATATATAAGAAATATTATAACTTGGTGCAAGTCTATGTAAACAAAATTGAGAATAATCATCCTGTAATATTTATACATATAAATATAAATATGCCAGTTATATAGTATTGGAATATACAGATAAATAGAGATATACGAGCATGTTTTTAAGTCAACTCCTTATACCTATTATAGCTACAGTTTATAGTAAGTCATTTATTACATTCAAATTAATTAATGACAAATAAATAAATCAATTTTGGTATTATAAAATGTACAGCCAAAATCCGCCTATTCTTCAAATTAATCAGAAAGAAAAGAAAGTCTGTCTAAAAGTGTAACAGGATAGGTACTACTTGAGAAAGCCGGTATTTACCTGTCATCTTGATTTATTATTTCTTCGAAATTCCTTCGAAACAAAATGTCGCCCTCAGTTTTGTTGAAGAATAGCAAAATTATGCTTTCACTGTAATAATAAAACAAAGTGTACAATGGGGTAACAGTTAACAAATTTTAATTAGCGAGTCATGTTACATGCTGAGTAGGTAAGCTTATGTCTAATTGGCAAATGTTTTACTGAACTGTTATAATTAGTAAAAATTTTATTGTAAATTTTGATAATCGTAGTCTATTCGTATATTTACCATCGTGGATTAGATCTTGAAAGCATAAACTTCAATAAGCCCAGCATTGGAGTGATACCGGTGCCTGCTGCTAGCAGGTACATTGTTCGTACAGATTTAAGCTAAAATGAAACATTGTTAATAATTTATTAAATATCAATGTAAAAGTAAAAAAAAGTAAAGTAACCGCCTATAAATATCCCACTGCTGGGCAAAGGCCTCTTCTGTAAAGAGGGTATTAGGGCATAGTCGACCACGCGAGCCCACTGCGGATTGGCGAACTTCACATATTTTCGACTTATTGTTTTTGTTATTATTACGAAAATATGCAGATTTAATTCACCGCCAAGCACGTGATAAGTCTGCACTTAAAATTAACAATTTCATTGGTGTCGGCACCGGGTATCGAATTCAGTTTGCTCTGAATTCAAGGCGTGCGCCCGGACACTGAGCTATCACGGCAATGTATTGCACAATAAAAGCTATTTTAAATAAGAAATAAATAGAAAGTATATTTATGTCCAACCTTCTTAAGTTGAAAGTTTCCGTAAGGCCCAGACACCGTGATGCGATCGCCTGTCTTCAAAGATGTTAGCATTGGCGATAAAACACCTAGCTCGTATCGCTTAATAGCCAGCTTTAGCGGTGCACATACATCGCTGGAGCCCCAGTTGTCACCGACAGGGGTATATGACCGTATACATTCCGTACCTGTTTAACATATTCAACTTGATTTTAATTTATATCCAGAAACTAGACATCTTTAAATTTGAAATTCAAATTGAAGAGAAGGAATATTTTCCTCACTCTTTAAATCAAACTGACATTTTAAAATTCTTTACTCTTGACATTGATAGTATTAACGTTAATAATGGCTTTTTATGTACATGCTGATACTAATTATATATAAAGTTAAAGTATGCCAAATCTCACATTCGTTAGTGCGTGCAATTTTCTTAAAAAGGGATCAAAAGTTTTCTCTTTACATAATACTATATAGATATGACAATATTTGAAGAAATATGACAATATAATTTATCTGAATAGTTTAATAACTAACCCGCTAGTGACTGATGCACCCGTACGTGATGGCCTAAAGGCACCACAACTGGCCCGGTGCTAGGTGTTAGTGCCAGCAGCATAGTGTCGTGCGATACAGGACTGATTCCCTCTATTCGACATTCAACTGCCCGAGGGGTCGTCATTTTTGTGGCGGGACTTAGAGTAGTTTCACCGCAACTTTTCCAAACTTTCATTTCTGCTTTTTGTGCGATTACCTTAGCAAAAATTCGTTTAACTTCATTACTACAAAATTAAGATAACTTACCCGTTCCAATATTAAAGACTTACTTCCAACTTCCCACTTTCGGCGAAGACGCGCAATTTGAGTGGTTCTTGTAGCGCACTTTCGGGTACTAACTTAATTGTACTTAACCAATCGTCCGTAACCACGTCAATGAACAGATGTCCATCAGTTAGCCTAGCGCACCCACCGGGATTTGCCAAAAAGCCTGTGTAGACGGATATCGTCAGCTTCGTAGATGTCTGTATCCAGTCGAAGCGAACAGACGTAGGCGAATCTCCATTCCTTTTATCCGTTCTCACTGGGCTGGACGCCGCCCTCCGGCTTATTGAAACGGGCAATTCACTTGAGTGTATCAAACTTTGCATTATTTTACTGGGCGGACTGCCCTTCGCGTTTTCTTCGCTTTTATTCGTGATCTTCTTCTTCACGGGAGTTATACAGTTGGCTAGATTCTCCATCGATTTTCTCACAAGCTCCTGAGCTTTAGACGGTTCCCGGAGACGTTCGGATTTTGGGAAGGAATTGATGGAATTGAATAGCTCCTCCGCGTCCGGTCTGTCGAAACGAAGAGGACCCACAAGACATTTGGCCAAAAGGGAGTCATAATTTACCCACGGGTGTATTTTGTCAAATAATTCAGTCGCATCCGTACCAGCTCCACGCATCAATTCTTCAGGACCTAAACTCAAATTTAAATTAAATGTTAATTTAATATAAAAATGTGAAGTACGTTCGTCATAGAATACAAGCTGAACACAACTATAAGTTATTTTATAAACATTACATAATGAAAAATTTTTCATTCATTTATCTCACCTCCGGGATGATATGGTAAATAATGTGTGATGTTGTAAACTCTACCACGTATGGCTAACCAGGCGTCATCTGTAAACGAAATTCTTTAAATAACATATCTGTTAATAATTATTCCTAAATTCAACATCTATTTATAGGTCAAGTTACTTTTCGTATTATGAGTTGCAAGCTCAGTGGGGTGAACGGGTCTTATTCGACCACCAACGCCAGTCAAGTCTTTGCCGGAGTTGCCGAGTCGGATCCAATCCATAAGACTGTGGCCGGGTTGAAGAGCGCATTTATTTCGTGGATTTCCTGAAATTTAAGAACATGTTTAGTTTATTTTTACCCGTCTTTGCTAGAAGGAGGGTTATGTTATTCGAGAGTATGTATGTATACAATGTATGTATGGATGTATAATTGTTTGGCACGCTCTGCAGCCTGAACGACTTGATGGATTTTAGCTTGGGAGGTGTCGTTACATTCGTATTTACTGTGAGAGTGACACTGTATATCAAAATAACAAAATACACAGAAACATAGTCATGTTTTTTAGCCTTTTAAATTATATTTTACTTATTATTAATGGTGAGAGAAAATATGTCTAGTATGGTTCAACCTTTATATTCGTATGACATTGGTGTATAAAGTATATATTAAGTATACAGGGAGACTTTTCTAAATGTATCCATTTTTAAATTGAATTCTAGACATAAACAATGTTATATAAAACTGATAAATATTTAAAATCACTCGTAATTAATTAATTACATTCATTTGAACTTATCTCAAAAAGTGCGTGATTTATAGGAAACTCATATATTTTACGCGCGATGATTCATAACTAAGACGCACACAAGTTCTTTTCAAAAGTATACGACGCATTTATGAATGACTACCGCATTGTCAATAAGTTCTAATGTTGTTTAAATCTCAAAATATTATGTTTTGAACTTGGAGTTTAATACATAAGCTATTTTAAACCCAATCTTAATTGTGCAATTATTCGCATATTTCAAACAGTAAAATATAATTAATTTCGACCAAACTGTGCTAGGACAACGCAACAGTCCTCGATGTTGCACGAATAGCCAGGACTGTCCGGCTAAGTACCACGATCTCATAGATGACCACCGAGTAGTGGAAGTGTTACACATCTGCGTTTCGTCTGGTAAGTGGGGTAACCGAAGCCCACTTTATTAAAAGGTGGCAACGCATCTGCACCGTACAGGTGTTGCAAATGTCCATGGCGCATGAGCACATGTGCGGCCCTACCCACAGCGGAGGGCCCAAACCCATGGGTTCTGGCTAGGCCACCGTGCGTCCGATGAAGCTTTAATAGTCTCGGGACTGAAAGCACAAAAAATAAGTTAATACAAGAAATGTCCATGGGCTGCGGTTATCGCTTAACATAAGGTGAACCGTCAGCTCGCTTGCCACCTGCGCACATAAAAAGGTAAGGTGTTTATAAGGATGGTGTTTTTATACGTAGACTAAAAAACGTATTTTATATGTGGAGTAAATAAAATAAAATTGAACGCAAATAAATCCGTCATGCTGTTTCTGTACGAATAACCCGTTAGTAAGCTGGGAATAAACAAGATATTCCAGAGCAGCTAAATGAAAGTTTTATTTAATTTTTAACATATGCACAAGCCATCGGCATCAGCTTAACTGGAAGAGACTAATATTCCACTTTTGTTTAGGTTTCAACTGAAAATATATTACAAACAGAGACTGAAAAATAGTAAGTTTCATTTAAAAAAAATACTGTACATTCACTTTACAAAGTCTTTCGACACTCAGGAGACCAAAGCTAAACACAACGTTGTTTAAAAGTTTAAATAATGTACACTCGAACACTGTTACAAGAATAGCAACATAACCGAACAATTTGGCCTCGCTTTGTATCTGTGCAAATTTCTTACACTTTGAAACTGCTCAAGGATGTCGTGGTTCTTTTCCGTTTTTTATGGTGATTTTTTAACGTTTCTTTATTGATTTTTAGGGTCTATACTGTTCAGTTTTTAACTCATATCATCACTCATCTCATCAATTATAAAAATGTACACGCTATATGGAGCAAGTTAATGGAGGCGGCCGTTTTTCCAACTTTGATCAAATCGCATTTTGTAATCTTTATATTTGCGTTTGAGGAAGTAATGTTCAAATATGAAAGAAATGAAAGTTTTTGATCGATTTCTTAAATATTCATGAATGACAAATCTAATCTAAACAATCAGCTATATTATAGACATAACATCGCTACAAATATTTAAACCTTTTAAAGTCCGAGAAAGTCATATCATCTAAACTATAAGAATAATGATATGAATTAGTTATAAATATAATAATAATAACACATTAATCTAAGAGAAAAGATTTTATTTTATATGTTTGTTTTTAATGGATAAACTCAAAAAAATAACTGAGTTTCGTAAAACTTGTGAACCAATATTATATATACACATACATATTACACTATAGGCACAGTGTCAGCGAGTAATACGGGCTGTATTTAATTTTCTTAAGGATATAGATGTCTATGAATATTGCAATAATGTAACCTAAATGTTTTTCATTTTCCTTAATAATTATTAATATATATAAATAAACATGGCGTGCGCTGCGAAAACTATTGATTATAAATAAGTATTTTATATAACATATAAAAGTATCATATTATTGTATTCTACTCTTATCCAACTAAATAGTTCATAATTCTTAGACATAGAACCCTTGGTCGTGACCCTTAAACACGCCATTTCTCTAAACTCAGCCTGACACATAACAAGAAACAAACGCCTATTTCCTGTTATTTAACAGGGCCCGACTGATTTTAACATACAGCGGATGGAAGAGTTAAATGCTGTTATTATTAAGAAATTTAAATAAGTTTTATACAGCGTGTCGTTACCATCGCGACAATAAATGAACACAAATATAGGAGATTACTTTTTAAAGTTGTATTAAACATTTAAATTCTTTAAACATCAATATTTACAGAGTTATTAAATTTTCCAAAACAAAGAATTTTAGAACACCCTTACCGACATAAGAAACTTACATTTCATTTATCAATAGTCATATATTTTTTTTAAATCTACCACCGTTTTGTAATGAGGTTCCTCTAGCGGAGAAGAAACAGGCGAAAGAAACTCCGTAGGTATCCTCTTTTTTGTAATTATTTTTTTTTCTTAACAAAAAATTCAAAAATTATACAACTGATTTTTTTCCTTTTAGAAATAGCTTGGGAGCGATCAACTCATTCCCAGGGGTTATTGTCATTAATGTATTCATTTGTATTACAATAACCCTTTTTATAAAGTTTTTCTTTAATAAATTTCTTAAACCTGTTAATAGGCAGGTTTTGCATTTACTGGGATTTTGTTGTAAAAGCGTATACACCGCCCCATGAACGAGTTACTTACTCTATGGAGTCTAGTAACTGGCATTACAAGCTTGTGTTTGTTCCTAGTGTTCACATTATGTATATCAGTATTCTTATCAAAATTATTAATATTTCTACGCACATACATAACATTTTCATATATATATTGAGAGGCTAAGGTTAATATATTTATTTCTTTAAACTTCTCTCTCAAAGATGCATTCAGATCTAGATTATAAATAGCTCTTATGGCCCTTTTTTGCAAAATAAAATTGTTTCTATATCGGCCGCGTGCCCCCATAGCAAAATACCATATGACATTATGCTATGGAAGTAACTAAAATACACAATTCTAGCCGTTTTTTTACATCAGTTAGACATCTTATTTTCCTTATAGCATACGCTGCAGAACTTAGTCTATTCGCAAGTTTGGATATATGGGGACCCCATTGAAGCTTTGCATCGAGAGTTATTGCAAGAAAGACAGTCGTATCCACAAGGCCTAACTCCCCCCCATTTATAAGTACATTGGTAGCACCCGAATGTTTAACATTAGGTGTTGAAAATTTCATACATTTAGTTAAGGCTGTTGCTCTATTGAGTCATCGTTGAGTTATAGTTGTATAAATCGGTAAAAGCTGTATTTCATAACTTGTCTCCAATAATCTCTGCTGGACAAGCTAAGTATTATCGTTATCTAATTATTGAGTCATTGTTGAGTTATAGTTGTATAAATCGGTAAAAGCTATGTTTTATAACATTTCTCTAATAGATGGTAAATATTTAATTAAAAACAAAAATATCATTAACTTGAATTTGTCATTACTAATTTTTGATTAACGAAACGAAGTTACAAAATACTGCAAGGCGTTTGAAAAATAACTATAACAATAACAATTTATATTAACAAAAAATAAAACGGTCCCCATATATCGAAATACAAAATCGACTCATAAGTGCCGGAGTTCTGAGGTAACAAACGTAAAAAAATACACCCGTATTGAAGTCAGTCGATAAAATACAATACGACGTTTATGTAGTGTACATATCATTGAAATATTCTTCTTGTGCTGAATTTATATCAAACAAGTAGAAAAATATTTACCCCAAAACGGTGGTGGGTGGCATTTAGCAGAAAGTCTTTTATTTTTCATGATAAAAAACAAAAAAAATCCAAGACAAGTGGGTTTTTCCAACTCCAATATTGATATCTACCCTTGGAGATAAATAATAGACTGCAATTGAATCGATACCATTATCGTCTACCGCTACAATACGTTATAATTACAGAATAAGGATAGTCAGTTTTAAAATAATTCACTTCACAAATAATTAAATAGGAAGTATTTATTAAGGAAATACTTCGTTACTACAACAAATATTGAAGAGTTAATCGAAACAAGCCAACGAAATCGGATTAGTGGGACTAATATCAAACACTGTAAATAAAATGGAAAGCTTTTAAAACGCTGTCACGTGGAATTGCCAGCTGTATTTGTGATTGTTGATAAAACAATATATCGCGCGTGAAATCGTATCGCAGTTTGCCAGCTTTTAAATCGGATGCCAGCAATGACTTAAGTAAACAAAAAAATGTGTTCCGCAATAACTAGTAAAAGAAGGAAGAGCGTTTATCATAATATTTTGAAAGGTAGTTTTCGTTGTAAACCATGTGTCAAATAAAAGAAATATTTACAATGCGATAACAACATACTCGAAGATGTTATAATGATTACGTTATACTAAGTACGAAAGCTTGAGTTAAAAGTGATAAATTTTGACTGGATGATCTACGCCCAAGGTCATGAAAGCATGAGTAAAATAATTTAACGTAGTACTCAAAACAAGCCCCGCACACAATTATCATTACATACACACACAAGCACAAAGAAATGTCAATCTTCTTTAGACAAACAAACTCTCA